GGATACAAGATCATCATACAAAAATCAGTTGGATTCCTCTACACCAACAAAGAGATCTCTGTAATGGAAATAAGGAACATACTATTTACAAAGCTACCAAGAACATAAAATACTTAGGAATTAATCTTACCAGGGACACAAAAGACCTGTTGTTGTTGCAGTTGTTCTTGTTAGGTGTCATCAAATCAGCTCCATCTAATAGTGAGCCTGTGTACAATAGAACGAAACATGGCTCTTTCCTGCACCAGCCTCACCATCCTTCCTGTGCCTGAGCCCATTGTTGCAGCCACCATGACAATCCATTTCATTGAGGGCCTTCCCCTTTTTCCCTAATCCTCCACTTTACCAAACATGACATCCTTCTCCAGGGAATGTTCCTTCTGACAACATGACCAACGTAGGTAAGATGAGGACCATTCTTGCTTCCAAGGAGCATTCCAGCTACACTTCTTCCAGGACAGATTTGTTAGTTCTTCCGGCAGTCCATGGTACTTTCAGTATTCTTTGCCAACACCACAACTCAAATGCATCAACTCTTCTCCAATCTTCCTTATTCATTGTCCAGCTTGCACATGCATATGAGGTAATTGAAAACACCATGGCTTAGGTTAGGCACACCTTAGTCTTCAAAGAGACACCTTTGCCCTTCGCTCTTCAGCACTTTAAAGAATAGATGCTGTGGTGGTTTTTTGTATCAACTTGGCTAGGCCTAGTTGAGTGGCTGGACAGCTGGATGTGGTAGTATTCCCCATGATGAGACTGGTAATCAACCCCATGGTAGAATCTACTGTGAGAAGCTGAGTAGCTGCTTTTGGGTATGAGGTCTGATTCCCATATATAAGAAACAGCTTTGGGAATGGTCTCTAGCACATGGCACGCTTGAACCCTACATGTACCTGGGTCATTATTCAACAGCCTGTCATGCTCTGCCGACCTTGGAACTTTCAGTGGACTTGAATTAATGGCCCACCATGTTTGGTAACATCGGGACTCTGCCATTTTATTTGTCGACCTTGGGCTTGCTAGCCTCTGCAGCCAGTAGCTGCCTGAGTGAAGAGATGCCACTAGCTTCAGTGGGCCGGGAGCAAGAGGTAGAGCTGAAGCCCATGGCTGAGGGGCTTTCACGCAGACCCGAGAGCCTGGCACTTTAAACTTGGACTTCTAGCCTCTCGAACTGTAAGAGAATAAACTCCTGTTTGTTAAGGCCATCCCATTTGTGGTATATTCTTGTCAGAAGGGCACTAGGTAACCAGAACAAATGCCTTAAGCATGAGTATAAGTAGATAAGTAAAATATGGTATACCCATTTAATAGGATTTTATTCAGGGAGCTCTTATAGCATAGTATCTAAGGCATTTGACTGCTAACCAGAGGGCTGGGCAATTTACTTCTGTAGAGATACCACCTTGGAAACCCAAGGAGGGGTCACTATGAGTCAGATTCAACTCAACAGTGGTGAGTTTGTTTTTTTATAACATGCTATAACCTGGATAAGCCTTGAAAACTTTAAACCAGATAAGAAGAACCACATATTGTATCCATTTATCTAAAATGTCCACAATAGGAAAATTCATAGAAACAGAAAGTAGATTAGGGAATGCTATGATATGAGGAGCATATAATATATTATATATATATATATAATGAGGAGCAACTGATAATGGGTACAAGGTTTCTTTATAGGGTGATGAAAATGTTCTAGAATTACATAGTGGTGATAGTTGCACACCTCCATGAATATATTAAAAAACACTGAACTGTATTCTTTAAAAGGGTAAATTTTTTGGTATGTGTAAATTATGTCAAAAAGCTATTTTAAAAAATATATTCTGGGGAAAAAAATGGTGGTGGTTTGAACCCACCAGAAGCTTGAAAAACAGAAGACCTGGAGATCTGCTTCCTACAGGGCATGACCAGGGAAACCTCCCAGCACACAATTCTACTCTGAAATTGTTGGTCAATTTTGTCAGACCTGTTAAAGTCAGAGACAAGTGACACCACTACAGAACTGGAGGTAGATTTGGGTGAATGCCTGTTCAAAAAGCATGGGTTTATTATAAAGATTCATCTTTAATATTTAGTCTTCTTAAATCTTAATAGTAAGACATGCACATTGTTGACATTTTGTGAGAGCACATCAGAACTTAACATTTATCATTCATAGACATGTCTTCATGAGTAATAAGTACATATACAGTATAGGTAAGCTTTGTGTTATTCATATTTGCCAGTTGAATAAGACAATAAGTAAAAAAAAAAAAATCCCAGAAAATCAATATGAAAATATATTGGGAATAACAAGAGTTTAGTAAAAAATGTTTAGTTACAAACATTCAAAAGTCAGCATTTAACAAATTAAAAGGAAAACATCATATGATCACCTTAATAGATAACAGAAATCGCAGTTGAAAGTTCAAAATCATTATTTAAAAAAAAATACTCTTTAGAAGTAGAAAGGAACATCCTTAACTTATAGCTGAATGATTACAGAAAACATTATAATTACTGGTGAAACATTGAAAGCTTTTTCTTTGTGAACAGAAGAAACCAAAAATGCTTACTATGACTATTTCTCATTAACATTGAACTGGAAGTCTTCCTAGCATGGTAAAGATTGAAACAAACAAACAACAATAACAAACAAACAAAAAAAAATACAGAACTTGCTAACTGACTTCAATATCTCTCTTAATAGGGAATCAAAATAAAGTAAAAGAGAGACTAAGCATTTTACATAAAGCTGTTATCATACTTTTAGAATAAAAATGCAACCCTTCTTAAATGTATAGATAAATCAACAAAAGGGACCATTTTCCTCCCCAAAAAAGACAACAAAGTATAAAACATTTCATATAAAATAATTTTATATTCAATATAGTATGCTATCTTTTTTTAAGGTAATTGGGAAAGTAACACAAATATACAAAAAAATAAAAGTGAAGACTAAAAATTAAATAATGAATGTTGAGCCATAATTTTAAAAATGTTTAAATATAGGTGGCAGGAAGGAATTGGGTAGAGTGTAGGGGGACAGAAACTAGGCTTTTTTGATTATACATTGTTTTTCAGATTTAACTTTTGGAATTATGTAAATATTTTAAATAGTTATAAATTAAAATTAAATTATAAAAAGAATGATCTCTAAATATAAACAACAAAATAAAATGAATAAACCTAAAAAAATTCCAAAAGACAAAAATACAAATACAGTTTTATATTTCACTATGGTTCTGTTTTATTTGATGACCACTCAATATGTGAGACTGAAGTTTATAAAATAACTTTTAATAGTTGTAGTCCAAATAAACATACATTGTTATTGGATTTTTCCCTCACATCTAACAAATTCAAGGAAATAAAATAATAAATGAAATGAATGAACATAGGGGCATGTTACAGTCTTTTCTTTTTCATTTCTCTAGGAAAATAAAGGAAAGTCTGGAGTGTTTCCCTGTTAAGTTGAATAATTTGATCCACATACTGGCACAGATGTCAACTGTAAGTCCTGCCAAATCTACTTCACAGACTTTTCCCCAGGAATCCTGTATGCTGAGCAAAACCAGGTCAATTCAAAGAGCAACAATTTTAGGGTTCAGCAAAAAACACAGTCATGTAAGTATCAAGTCTGTCATCTTGTCTTAAGTATCATTTACTTCATCTAAGATTTCCTTTCACTATATTACTCATCCTTCCTGATAGCATGATTTTTTATTATACAAATGAAAAATCAGATAGAGCAGAAGTGCCATTAAGTAAGATGTTCTAAGGAGAAATAGTAACAACCGGAGCTATTAATAGAGAGCTATCAAAAAAGAACAGCTCCTGTCCTATGATAGAATATACATCGAGAGCTAACTATAGTGTCCACAAGAAAAGAACAGCAAAAATTATAGTCTGTTCCTAGCATATAAAAATGATATCATTATATATTGTGTTTATAGCTAATTCTGCCTTTACAAGTTGTATCTCTTAGCTTTTGTGATTTTTTTTTTCCAGAAATGATCTTGCTTTGCTTAGTCTATGTGAAACCAGATTTAGAAAGTACTAGAAGTTTTCCAGGAATATTACTGTCTTTTAATTTTTGTCCATTTGCTTTATGCAGCTGTATCTAATCCAGGTGACACACCGTAACAATCAAACAAGCCTGATGGAAAAATCTTTTGACCAGATTTCAAAATTTCACAATCAACTTCAGAAGCAGTTTGCATCATTGACTCTCCCAGAGTAAGGCACCATCTTCCCCACATTGTTTTGCCCTTATTACTTGCCCATGAGCAAAGGGAAAATTAGTATTTTCTATTTGCAAGCAATATAGGCAATCTGTGGATTAAGAATAAATTCAGTTCCTAAGTCTGTCTTTGAGTTGAATTTGTTAAGTAAGTGGGAACAGTTAGATATATAGTTCATTTCTAATGTCGGTTAAATTTTTGTCTTAGTACATAGTATGTAGTGTACCTTTATATGCATAAAAAATCTTAAAGGAACACTTCCAGATACACTAAAATAACTTTAAAATAATAATACAGTAACACAATAATAGTGTTTTAACATGCATTGCAGGAGCTCTGATAGCATATTGCCTAAGGCACTTGACTGCTAACCAGAGGGCTGGTGGTTCAAACCCACCAGCCGCTCCTTGGAAGGAAGGTTGGGCAATCTACTTCCGTAGTGTTACTGCCTCAGCAACCCAAGGAGGGGTCGCTATAAGTCGGGTCCTACTTGACGGCACATAACAACTAACAACAACATGCATTGCAAAATAGTATCCTTTTGTTACTATGAACCATTGTTCGTACCTAGAATTTTTAATATAATAGGTTTTATGGAGGTTGGTTCATAACCACAAATTGTACATAAATTGAATGTTTGTAACCCAACAACATTCTGTCTCCAATGCCATTGGACCTATCTCAACAGAAAATTTGTCCTACTCTGAGCAAAGATCTTTTTGTCTCATAAAGTAGAACAACGTTTGCAATTTTCTTTTTGCCTCCAGTCATTGATATTTTTAGACAGAAAAATTCAGAACCTATTTGTTTTTCATCAGTTATCACTTAAGTTGCTTTATTTGCCTGTTTATAAATTTAATCTTTTAGTTTTTTTTCCTATAAAAATAAAATTTAAGTTGAAAATGTAGAACTCAATTGGATATATCTGTTTCAACAAATAGCTACAATAAAAAGCTCTGTATTCATTTTCTAAAAGAGAAAAAGCTAAAATTAATATCAAGTAGTATATTAATAATTCATTTTTAATTCAGTAACAGTGATTGCCACACTGTACTAATCAATCATATACGAGTTAACCCTTCTTAAATTTTTGCCTTTTATTTCTGTTTTAAAAATGTCTCTATTTCATGTTTTTACCTCTCTGCTTTGTAACAATATACCATAACTTTAAAAGTGCTAATAATCTTTCTCCAGGTGCCTCCTCTTCATTTTCAGATTTAGTTAAGATTCAGCTTTGCTCATAACTACTGGCTGGCAATGGTACCTAAGTTGATTTTAGAACAATTCAAGCAATTTGCAGAGGGGAGGAATGGATACTCCTATGTGCCTTGAACAATATTTGTATATTGATACTCCCTAAGTGGCTAAGACTTACAGTATTGCATGCAAATGATGAATGAAGGCATGATTTCCTCTGACTCCTAAATTTAACGAAAGAAACCCTGTATGAGTTATATAAACCCAGTCTGGGAAGTAGGATCAGAAGGTCAGAGTCATGAAAAATAAAATCCAAATAGGTCATAGCATAAAACAATGATCTTTGAATCAAGCTATTTGTGCCCCTTGGGCACCTTCCAAGATTACGAAGTCATGGAACTCTTCCTTAAAATTAATGTTCTTTTTTCAGAATTTATTTTCTTGGTAAAGGTTGAGTTCCTTTCTCTCTTCCACTTTCAACCTTGCTCTTAAGCAATCATCAAGAATCTTATTTTATAACATTGTTTCAGGGTATAAAAACCTCTGAAGACCAAACAAAAGGGAAAATCAAAATACTGGTATTCCTGGTAAAAAGTTAATTAATTATCAGGTTCTGAATAATATTGGGAAGCTCTGGTGGTATAGTGCCTAAAGCATTTGACTGCTAACCAGAAGGCTGGTGGTTCAAAACCCACCAGTCACTACTCAGAAGGAAGGTTGGGCAATCTACTTCTATAGTGATTCTGCCTCGTAAACCCAAGGAGGTGTCGCTGTGAGTCAAAATCGACTCAACAGCAATGAGTTTGTTTTTGTTTTTGTTTTTTTTTAAATAACATTGAGGGAGCTATGATGGAACTGTCAGATAAAATAATTTTCAGTAACTGATAACTGTTACATTTGGCATGTAACTCAAAAAATATTTAAAATAATGTTAGTATTTGATCCAGCAATCCCATTACTAGGTATATCTCCTAAAGAAGTGAGAGCCAGGACAAGAACAGATATATATGCACACCCATGTTGATCACAGCACTCTTTACAAGAGCAAAAAGATGGAAACAATCTATGTGCCCATCAACAGAAGAATGAATAACCAAACTATGGTACATACACACAATGGAATACTATGCAACCCTAAAGAATAATGTAGAATCTGCAGAACACTGTAGAGCATGGATGAACTTGGAGAAACTTAGTGAAATAAGTCAATCACAGAAGGAAAAATATAGTATTAATTCATTTTTTTAAAAAGACAAGGAAAGATTTATATATGGAAGGAAACTTTCTTTGCTGGTTACCAGGGGTGGGAGGAGAGAGAGGGAACACTGCCAAAAAAAAAAAAAAAAGCATTGACCCATGCCACTTTAGTTTTGTGTATTTCACTGTACATAAATTATATTTCAATAAAATGTATTTAAAAAAATATTTCAAACAATGAATTACACTACTATAGAAGAATTCCTCAATTCTCATGGACTTACTTCTAAACATGATTTTTTAGCACATTCATCTATATGTTGAATAGAATTGATGTTGAATCCTGTTTTCTTCCAGCAACAAGGAAGATTCATCTGCAATATATGTACTAATTTTTAAAACATGCCCAATCCATCTATGTATCAAATACATTTCCAAATACATTTTTCTGGTTATATTTAATAAATATATAAATTCTATAATATATGTTTATTAATTGTGTATTGGTATTAGTGATAGCTAAATCTAGATGAAAAACAGTAGAACAACCCCATAGAGTTCCCAAGACTATAAATCCTCACAGAAGCAGACAACCACATCTTTTGCCCATGGAACAGTCAATGGGTTCAAATCATTAACAGCTAAAAGCTTAACCATTGAGCCACCAGGCGTCCTTTTAGAGCTGTAAGAGTCTTTTTTTAAAAAAAAAAAATGTCAACTACATAAATATACTAACATCTAATTTTAGACCTTCCTGACATTTCCTGTAGGAAGCAGTGAAACAGGGTGGCCTGAAGTTGTTAACCATACTTCTGTGTATTTGCTGACAACTCTTCACTCTCCCTCACACTCCTTTCCTCAGGGAAGCAAGGTAGTGTACTAGTCCTGACCAAGAAGCTGAGGAGTGAAAGAGAGAGCAGCAAGACTGCAGTTAGAGGAAGATAGTCTTTGAAAGAATGCACTTAACCAGCAAAGATGTGTTGCCAAAAGCTACTACCCATTAGCATGTCATCCCACCCAATAATTGGGCAAGTCTGACCCATCAAGATGATTCACCACATATAGTATTGTAGAGGAAATTCTCCAAGGCAGACTCCAGGGAAAAGTGATACTTTGTTCCAAGACCAGAGGGAAGCATATGTCACTTAGTAGTTGAGTCATCACTATCTAAGTGACCCCCTGAGGCCAGGTTTTAAAATGTTTAGTATAGTTAGGATAGCAGTGTATCCAGTGAATCCAGAATAAACAATACAAACTGATCTTTTTTTGAAAATTAGCAATCAATAACTTAAGAAAATAAGCCCTACATGTGCTTAAAGGAAAAAAAAAGAAAAAAGAAAAAAGTGTGGTCTGTCAGAAATACAGTAAAAAGGGCTACATAAATTAATTTAGTATGTTAAGTTAATATTAATGGCAATTAAAATACCACAAGTGACCATATTATATTACTAAAACTCTCAGGATTATGTACTATATGCTTTTTTAAATGTTTTATTGGCCTTTTAATCTGATGCAGCTGTGGACAATCACAAGCTGCAGGGGCCAATTTTCAAATTATTGAAGACTGTTTCTTTTTCCTTTTAAAACAGGTTTCCTCATTGGTGGCACCTACCTTTTACAAATTCAGATTATAAAAGATTCAGAGATCTAAATCGTTACATGCAACAGTTATTAAATGGACCGGATGAAGTTGCAAATGTATGTTATAATTTACATTTTTACATAAAATATCAACTAGTTCATGTATTATTACTGGAAGGATTTAAAATATCTTATGGTAATATTCTTTCCATCTTAGATTCATTCAAAAAAGTGGTATGTGTAATATGTGTAATATCCCTTAACAAAGAACTATGGAGCAACAAAGAAGCTATAAAACCCTGGCCTCAAATAATATCAATGAAGTTACATGTGATAAGTGGATTATCAGTACTACAACGTGCCCTAGAATTTTAGAGAATTGAGAATTACTTCCAACTACAATGATAAAAACAGGTTAAGGAAAAGTGAACATCTGAGCTGGTCTTTGACATGGGTTAGGTTGTAATAGAGTTGGCCTGGGGAATTGTTGCATGTAAAACAAAACAATATACACAAGGTAATAAGTGGGAATAAAGTAAGAGATTGTATTAGCTTCTTATAGCTGCTGTGACAAATTGCCACAAGTTAGTGCTTAAAATAGGACAAATATATTTTCTTATATTTCTAGAGGTCAGAAGTCTAAATATGGTTGTTATTACGCTAAAACCAAGATGTTGGCAGGGCTGGTTTTTTCTGGAAGCTCTAGGTGAAAATCTGCTTTTCCAGCTTCTAGAAACTGCTTGTGTTCCTTGATTTGTAGCCCCCTTTCAGTTACGACATCTCTGTGAAACTTGCTTCTCTGGTCACATCCTTCTCTGACTCTAACTCTGACTTTTCTGCCTCCCTCTCAAAAGGACCCTTGTAATTACTTAATCCAGACAATCTAGGATAATCTCTCCATCTCAAAATTCTTAATCTTATCTGCAAAGTCCCTTTTGTCAAATAATAAATCATAATAACAGGTCTGGGGATTAGGATGTGGACATCTTTGGTGACTCATTATTCTGCCTACCACAAGGATTTGTGGAAAAGTGTAAGGGCACCATTATGTTGAATGTCAACATTTTTGTGAGGAATCTGTGATAGGAAGATAAAACCAACAAGTAAGTTGAGGCCAGGTTATTAAGAGCTCAGCCTAAGCCTTAGAGAGTAGCAAGGAACTAAAAACAGTAAGAACACAACGTCTGTCATTTCTCTGAGAGATCCAGACCCTCCTTATTGGACTGGGACTGTGTTGTTTTGTTTTTGCCTTTCAAATTATAAAGTATAACATACATACAGAAAAACTTATAAAACAGAATTAGACAGTTCAAGGATTTATTATAGAAGAAACATCCATGTAATCATGCAGTAATTTCCAAACACATCTGAAAATCCTTTGTAATCCTCCTATTTAGATGAGAAGTCTATGTCCCCTCCTCTTGAACCTGAGAGGGTTTTTGTAACTTTCTTTTGGCATGGTGGTTACTGAATTTAATGTCTGCTAACCAAAATGTCAGTGGTTTGAACCCACCAGCCATCCACAGAAGAAAGGTGAGACAGTCTGTTTCTGTAAAGATTTACAGTCTTAAAAACCCTATGAGGCAGTTCTACACTGTCCTATAG